GAGTGTAAACTGCAGAGTCCTGACCTGTAGATGAGTGTAAATTGCAGAGTCCTGACCTGTAGATGAGTGTAAATTGCAGAGTCCTGACCTGATGATGTAGCTCGTCTGTGCTGGCTCATTCTTTTGAACAGTGCCTCTTTTGTTTCTCCAATGTATGACTGATCACAGTCCTCCTGACACTTAACAGCATACACTATATTACTCTGTTTTTGCTGGGGAACTGGATCTTTGGTGTGAACTAATCTTTGTCYTAATGTAACGTCTACATCCCTTCAGAAACTATGATGAGGGGTGGGGGAGCTCTTGGACTTGTTCACAGTCACTCACAGATGCTTACATGCACAAACAACACTCCACTGCTTCAGATACACACACCCCTCAACTCACCGCCTTTGRTGGCTTATACGTTGCTACATGCAGAGATATATTTTTTTGCAAACTCATATTGTGTCCTTGTTAGGGACACAGTATGACATGCTTTTTTATCTTTCACTGTCTTCATGTTTGCCATTTCGTCTTTCTAACACAAGGGTAGCGCCTCTTCATGGCTGCAGGACCCAGGGCACCTAATCACCCATGTATGTGTTTCTTTTGCTTTTGTCTCCCTCTTGAATGGGTTGTTCAYYACTGTAATTTCCCTTTGAGATCAATGAAGTATTTTTGAATTTGAACTGAAATGAATTTGAATAAAAACTGTTATATTTTTAATGAGAAAACCCTCATTGTTAGTTTACAAGAAAGTTGAATAGTTATTTAAATGTCCATAAATTTGTGCAATAATCTGTCCCAGAATCTTTCACAACAATCACATGCAGCCGTGCAGAAAAACATAACCTACATCACTGAGAATCTCATTGGTCTTTCTGGCACGAATGGCGTCCTCCTGCTCCGGGTGGCAAGTCCACTGGTGCAGGTAGGTGCGGTAGAGGACATCACTCAACATGTCCTGGCACCTCTTGGCTACCTGGTTAGCGATAATATCAGGCGGGAGGTGGATCTTGGTCTTGGTTTGATGGTAGTCCTTCTGGTAGATCCTCTGTCAGGACAGAATATTATGGATAAGAAAAAAAAAGAAAATCTTAATTGCAGCTAATAGGAAATTGAAAGAAAACTTACAAGCAAATTCTGATGGCATCTTGTGGTGAATTTTTTTTTAAATGTTCTCATAAATCTGTAAAGAAAAAAGGGTGTCTTACCATCGGTTTATTCTTCTCCTGTTGTCCACAGCGCATAGCCTCAGGGAAGTCCACCAGAGTTCCAGCCATGTAGTGACCTTTGGCTTTCTCATGAGCAATTTTGTACTTGACCTAGTGTTCAAACATAATTAATGTCTTAATTTTTTTAAATATCGACAAAGAGAAATCATAAGTGCTTTGCCTTGAAGTTCTTTTTTTAAACAAACCTAAAACGAGCACAGATACTCACATCACTAGCGATCTCTCTGCCCTTTTTGCCGCTGAGCAGGGGGATGTATTCATGGTTCAGCTTGTAGCTCGTTGCCTTGGTGCTGTCCCATTGAGATTTATACAATTTCTGAACACACAAATAATTGTTGCGAAGGTTAAGGAGAGGCAAATAAAATTACAGCACACAATGATGAAATGTGAGCGATTTTAAATTACCTCACTGATGGTCTTAGCCATCTCTCTGCTATGGGCCAGTTGAGGAGTATCGTCTGAACCAATGTAATGACCTTTTTCAGCATTGAAGGACTCTTTGTATTTCAGCTATAAAAAAAAGACAAATGTTTAATGGTGATCTATTTCTTTTAAATCTAAACATTAAAAATGTTGGGCTGCTTACATCACTGAGGTTGGCYGCATTTATTTTTGCCAAGACGATCTCAGGACGATCCACCACCAGAGTGAATTTTCCAAATTCTTCTTTGGCATTCTTCTTGTAGAGCCTCTGTAGACAAAATCACAACAGCAAGGTGAGACAAAGAGGCAAAATGGGCAACATGTAACAGAAGATAAATTCGAAAAGTAAAATTTTAAGTAGTGGGGGGGACCTACCTCATTGAGAATTTCCTGAGCCTTTCTGACTTTGACATGGTCAACAGAGTCGGCTGCCATCCAGCCACAGCCGCGAATCCATTCCAAGTCTGCCCTGTACACATTCTGCAGAAAGAAACCCAACATGATTATATCTAGGAAATAAAGAAAAACATTTCATTGCAACTCATTAAACTGTCACAACAAGCCATAATCTGTCAGCTCACATCACTCTGGAGGTCATAAATCTTCCTGGCCTGGACCACGTCATTGGAGTCCGGCAGACAGGTCCACTGGTGCAGGTGAGTTCTGTAGTTGAAGTCATTGACTTGAGTCTGGCATTTCTTGGCCAGCTCCAGACTCAGCATGTCCGCTGGCAGATGGTATTTAGTCTTGGACTTGTTGAAGTCCTTTTTGTACAGAACGTCACTGGCGATCTTGACTGAGTTCATGGCCAAGACAATGAGAGGATCATCCAGGACACTCAGGGCACCGATGTGATGACCACACTGTTTGCGGTATCCCTCCAGATAATTATGCTACGAAATGAACAAAAATGGCTATCTTTATGTTGTTGGGTTCCCAGTTAAATAAAATAAATATTACATTGTTTGTTCCCAGTGAGAAAAAAATACAACTTTATTCCATGACTTACTTTGCTCTGCACTTTAGTTGTAGATATGCACTGTTTGATGGGTACGGCATCACCAGGCATGAAGTATCCCGTGGCCTTCACCTTGTCCCATGCTTCAGTGTACAGTTTCTACAAAGGACACAAAATATATACTTTACATTGTGTTTCTATTAAATTATTCAGCTTAAAACGGGAGAAAACAGTGAGAGTAAGTATCTGTGAATTGAAATATGTAGAAACTACAGTTAATAAACAACGTCTTACTGGATGAATGTGTTTCGCCACTTCTCTGGCTGTGGCAAGAACTGGACTGTCTACCAGTGAGTATTTAGTCTTGTCCTGGTGCCAAGCCTCACGATATTTAGCCTGGAAAAGAAAAGAAAATATGTTAGGCATTGAAAACATTGTAGAAGTAAAACTGCAACATCTACGATTTATTTAATGTTCAAGCATCTTAAAGGGGCAATATTATGTAAAATCAACTTTTTTGAGTTTTATATCATGTTATAATGTTATACTCTCATAAAAACACGCCCAAAGCCTTGCTCTGACTCATTCATCATGTTTGA